TTTCAGCTTTTTTTTGTATTCTGTGATAGTTTTAAAACATGCATATCTCATTCGTTTAAAGTCGGATTGGCATGAGTTTTTTTTCCATAGTATAGTTTATAGTTTGTACATGATTTTAGACTATAATTTTGTCATTTTTGGGTTTATATTCATTGACTTATAGTCTCTCAAAGTTGGGATATCAAAGCTGGAAATTTTATGTTTTTCAACTTTTTTTATATTCTGTGATAGTTTTAAAACATGCATATCTCATTCGTTTGAAGTCGGATTGACATGAGGTTTTTTTAGAGTGTAGTTTATACTTTGTACATGATTTTAGACTATAATTTTGTTATTTTTGGATGTTTATTCATTGACTTATATTCTCTCAAAGTCAGGATATCAAAGCTGAAAATTTTATGTTTTTCAGTTTTCTTTGTATTTCGTGATAGATTTAAAACATGCATATTTAATTCGTTTGAAGTCGGAATAGCATGCGGTTTTTTCCAAAGTGTAGTATAGAGTTTGTACATGATTTTAGACTATAACTTTGTCATTTTTGGTTTCATATTCATTGATTTATAGTCTACCAAAGTTGGGATATCAAAGCTGCGAATTTTTTTTTCTCGGCTTTATTTTTGTATTTTGTGAAATTTTAAAACATGCATTCGACCCACTTTACCCGGTTCCCCGAGTTTTTCAGTTTTAGACCCACTTTACCCGGTTCCATTCGACCCACTTTGATATTTCTGGGTTTTTCGGTTCTAGACCCACTTTACCCGATACCTTACCCGGAACCAAACCGGAACCGGTTCCTATATACCGGTCCGGTTTCCGGTCCTAAAAAATCTCGTTAACCGGTTCTCGGGTTTTCCGGGTCCGGGTCTACCGGTTCGGATTTGGACCCACTCTCATCCCTAACTGTGAGTTCATACCCCTAGGTTTTCAATATTTTTCCATGTTTTTAGGGGGGGGGGGGGAAATACAAGTACAACACAATTAAATTTGTGTAAACAGTCAAACGATTTCAAACGACCTTAAACTGTTTCAGTCAGTTGTAACAATTATTTTTACGGTAACATATTTTATATATAAATACGAGTACAGATCTTTAATCTTTTGTAACATGCTAAGCAAAGGTAAATTTTCAGGATAATCATAATTCCAATGGAACGAACATATAAACTATAATATGTATAGCTTATTGAACACCGATATCATATTTACAAGATACCGAGATACAAAACAAACGAATATATAAACTATAATTGGTATAGTTTATGGAACATAAGTACTATCTTACTAAATACTGGTTTTGTCACCGTAACGAACATATAAACTATATTATATATGGTTAATGGAACATATAAACAATTATTCATTTCAAAGGATTTTCAATTATTCTACACTTAACCGTCGATATAGCTTTTGTGAGATAACATCTTCAAGTACTTATTCAAGTGCCAACAAAAGTCCTAACCTTAATAAGCAGAGTCTCCTGGAGGGAGAGCGTGAATTTGTGTATAGATGTATACGGGATTGACAACCCCGCACCCCGACTGTTAGCTACAGTTGGAACGGAAGTTCAGGGATGACAAATGTCATGAGCGATTTTCGACACCTGAAGAACGTCGAGTCAGGCCATCCGTCATATTATGTATGGTTATGAGAACTCACAATTTAATATCGAACAACACGATTATTGTATGAATAAGTAACCACTTCACTTAGTTTTATTTAAATAATAAGACTATAAAACATTATTTTACAAGTACCACTGGTGAATCCAGGGGGTTTTAACAAGGTATGAATACAAAAGGCTATTCCAGCACAGATAAAACATACATTCATAGCTTTATGGAATTTAAAAATACCTTATACTATTACAGAGCAGTATATCACTTAAACTTTTCGAGTCCAACCATTTACAACAGCAAATATAGGATTTTCTGGGAAAAACACACTTACATTTTCAAGAAACAAATTGATGGCTTTCAATTACAAACATGCTTATGAACTCACCAACTTAAATTTTGACACACTTTCAAAACCACTTGTATTCTCAGGGAACTGATAAGACAGGTACATCCGCGGGTTTTTGAGAAGACGGGGCTTTTAGAGTCGCGTCTTTTATACTTTTGTTATACCTTTTGATGTCATACGAACTATGTGATGAACAGATGTAAATACAATATTTTATCAATGTAATGGTTGTGTTTGCTTGATTACTATTATACAATTGTTGTGATACTGTACATGACGTCCTCCGACCCCGAACGTTTCCGTTGTTCCGGTTTGGGGGTATGACACTACATAAATCGAAGGCAAGAGGTATTGATCATATAATTCAAGTCAATGGTATATAAACCCACAATCAAAGTCTAAGGATGTAAAACCCATAATCAAAGTAAAAGCGAAAATCCTTGTCATTTAAACATCATTCAAAAACATGTACTTAATTAGGATGTCTCTGAATCATAACTATAATCTTCAAGAAAGGAAAGTACAAATTATAGATATATTAGCCAAATAATGTATATACATATAATATTGCACACACGTCAAAATACACATATAATGGGGACAAGTATTCCAAGGTAAAAGTACCCACCTTAGTCCAATGCTAGAAACACCATGTACTTCTTCACTTGAACAACATTTCTTTAAACTCATGCTTCCAAGTCAACACATAATATCATTATCATAAGGTGTCAAAAGACTAAAACACCCTTCCATGTCTTAACTCATAATTCTAAGATCATAATACTCCTTACGTATCCTAATATGAGTTAAGGAAGCCAAAGAAGACCAAATGAAAGAACTAGAATAAAAGAACTCACAAATAGCAAAGTGGGAAATGGGAAAAACCCGTTGACAAACCACGCTCCACCATGGGTCGTTTCGTGTTTCCTGCAAAGCAGATCAAAGTTTTACCTTTATTTCTCATTTTGCCAACCAACTTGCAAATAAACGTCAAAAATGAATTCATTGACTCAAGGGACTTCCAAAAAAAGTTCATAAAAATCAATTGAACATAGGAAAGGATCCCTAATGGTTCAATTCCTTAGGATAAACATCAAACATCTAATTAGTACACAAACTTCAACTTGAAGCTCAAAGAGCACATAAAGCTTAATTCACACCAAAATCACTATGTATGAAAGATAGATTACAACCAAATGATCTAATACTAATATAGAAACTTAAAACATACGAAAATCATGAAGTCGTGGAAGCTTGGAACTCAATCCATGATTAACATTGAGCTCAAATCTTCACATGAACTCCAAACAAGCTTGGCATAAACAACATTCCAATAATAGGTTAACAACAAGACCTAAAGATGATGGTTAAACCTCAAAAATAACATTAAAACAACTTCCTAGCACCTCATAATTCATGGATTTTAGAAAATCCTAAATTATGACCAAAAACCAATTAAACCCAAATAAGAGTAAGATTTGAAATTCTACCAATGTATAATGAATTGAATACATTAGATAAACACAAAACACCATAATCCTCAATTTACATCATAAAAATGGATTCCACATCTACGGTTAATGAAACCCATCAGAGAAACCTAAACTTCTAAATCTCACAACTACTTCCTAGTTGGAGCTTAGAGATGGTTTAAAGTTGAAAAGAATAAGACGCTACCTATAGATGCAAGAATTTGACCAATGCTTCAAATAAGAACTTCAAGCATCAAAACACCATGGATTTAGGAGGAAAACTTTGATCATGGAGGGAGGAACATGGTTGATTCGTAAATAAGAAAGGAGGAGGAGAGAAAGGGTTAAATGCTCATAACTTTAGTCGATTTGGCAACATAGGTCTCTTCTTACAAATATCTCGTCAAAATGGCTCCAAACTAACTAAAGAACCTAAAATAACTCACATACGGTCCTTCCCCATAAAAATCTTTCCAAAATTAGTCCTAACAGTTAATTGGTCAACTCTTATTTTCCTTACTCTAGCTTTCATGCTCCCTTCCTCAACTAAGTTAGACTCTTTTTAGATGTTTCTCCATCGACCATCACTCTCTTTCACTGTAGCTGAACCTCTCACATCTACTGGTTCTTCCGATGCTCTTAACACTACTACTGATTTATCTCCCTCTTATACGTGAATATTAACACATTGCTAATAGTTTAACGGTTTTATGTGTTGTTTTTAGAACAATTAGTGTCCACCATAGTGATATTGTCGTCTTTGTATTTTTTTCTTTAACATTAAGGTATGTGTTCGACACAACACCTCCCATTATTATTTTATGTTTTATGTATCTATGTACAAAACTAAGCCCGCCCCAAATCTTGTGTCTCAAGTCCATCATATCCAACATAAAACTGTCATGCCTCAAATCTTAACCCAAATAGGTACCATATAACTTTTATTTCAGTATTATTTGTTTTTTTACAATTTTGTCCTAAGTTTTAAGTTTCCAAAGAATTTTGTCTAAAATTTTTTAACAAAGTTCCTTTTATATATATATATATATATATATATATATATATATATATATATATATATATTTTCTAAATTTTGTTTTATTTTAAAATAATATTTTTTACAACTTTTTTTACCATCTTATTTTAACCAATCTAGTTTTACGAATTCATTTATATAAAATTAGTTATTTTAAACATACTTTCATTTCTACAACCTGTTTAATATTTGTTTCTATTCATGTTTTTTTAAGATTTTTTCATTTTTACTAATTAGTTTTCTTATGTTTTTCATAAATTCGATTTTTATACATATACGATCCTAAAAATTAATATTTTTGCATTTTTATTTTTGTGGACCAAAAATAGATTCTTATTTTTGGCGTATAGTTATAACTGATGTATAATTATACATACACAAATTTCCAGACTGATTGCACTTTAACTTGATATATATATTATAACAAATAACAATATCAAATTTGAGAAACTATACATTACGTTATAAAGGACCATGGTTTACCCCGCCCCTTAAGAGGAGGTAGCCACTAGCCTCTTTAACAGGTTCCCATGATTTCCAGCTTTCAACGGCCATTATTTTCCATCTTTAGTAAGCAAACCGCCAATCTTCGTTGTTTTGTGTCTGGTGGGCCTATCCCACTTACTAATAAAAAACATTTATATATTATATTATATTATATATATACAGATGTCAGTATAATTGATTGCAGTAGAGGGGTACTTGCCTCTTTAGCTGAGATTGTAGGTGTGGACCTGTCATACCAGTCTCGCCTTCGAGTTCGAGACCTCTTCAATCGATTCAAGTGGATGATCGAGGTTTTTGGAGAACTGGGGCCTCGATTTTCAAGAATAGTGATGGGTTTTTAGTGGCGTTTTCACTTGATCCGAAAAAAGTTCCATTCTTTTTAACTGCTTGAAGCTGTTCCCAGTTTTCCAGTGAACTTAGCAGATTGCGAAGTTCAGGTACTTTCAGTCTTTTTCTCTCTTCTTTCATGTTTTATCTTTTGACTTACAGCTTTTACGGGTTTGTGGTTTGGGTACTGTTGATTTCTTGTTTAGCTGCTTACTTTATTTGTTACTGAATGTGTAATTCATGTGGGTAATCTACAGTTCGTGTGGTCAATTCGACTTAGGTCCATTTACTGTCTATTCAATTACAATTTTGATTTTATACTTTTGGGTTTTCGTATCATGTTATATGGCTTTAAGATTGTCTCAACTTAAGTGCAATGATTCTGTGGGCCATTTCTTTTACCAAAAATAAACCTAGAAATTAAAGCAAAACAGAGCTTCAAGATTGGGGAAAATGGGGTTTTACCAAGAAAATACCATGAATTGGTGTTTGCTCATTTCAAGATAGGGGAAAACTGTTCTTTTATGTTATTTTTTTTTACAAACGTGGTTTTTGATTATCATATCGCTTTTCTGAGTTCATCAGATAACATTTTTGGTCAAACAGCGATGATGGTATTGATCTTTTTTCTTGGATTCCTCATCATAATTTACAATATGCGCCTCAATTGCTTCTTTTCAATGGTGGGGTTTTCAAGATTTTTGTTTTATAACTTTATAACTTATTTTTACACTGTATACTAACACCACTTCACTCACATCGACTTCATTCACAGCATGTTATATTGATATTAGTTCCTCTGTTCTACATACAGATCTGATCACAATGTCTACATCAAGGCCAAATGATCAATCTTCCACCAATTCCGCAAGATCAAAACACAGTGCAAGAATCATTCATCAAACAACAGTAGACGCGAAGCTCCACGCTGATTTTGAAGAATCCGGCGACTCATTTGACTACTCAACTTCCATCCACGTCACCAGCACGGTGGCTGGCGGCGAACAGCCTCGCTCCGACAAGATAACCACCGCGTATCTCCACCACATTCAAAAGGGCAAACTAATTCAACCTTTCGGATGCTTATTAGCCCTTGATGAAAAAACTTTCAAAGTCATCGCCTACAGTGAAAACGCACCCGAAATGCTCACAATGGTCAGCCATGCAGTTCCCAGTGTCGGTGAAAATCCACTTCTTGGGATCGGCACCGATGTGAGAACCATTTTCGCGGGTCCCAGTGCTAATGCTTTGTATAAGGCGTTAGGATTCGGTGAAGTTTCTTTACTAAATCCGATTTTGGTTCATTGTAAAACCTCCGGGAAGCCGTTTTATGCAATCATTCATCGGGTCACCGGAAGTTTGATCATAGACTTTGAACCCGTTATGCCTAATGAAGTCCCCATGACTGCTGCTGGGGCCCTCCAATCCTACAAACATGCAGCGAAAGCCATTGCTAGGTTACAATCACTCCCTAGTGGTAGCATCGAACGACTATGTGACACCATGGTTCAAGAAGTTTTTGAGCTCACGGGTTATGATCGGGTGATGGCTTATAAGTTTCACGACGATGATCATGGTGAGGTGGTGGCTGAGATTACAAAACCAGGGCTCGATCCTTACCTTGGGTTACATTATCCGGCGACTGACATCCCTCAAGCTGCAAGATTCTTGTTCATGAAGAACAAGGTTCGAATGATTTGTGATTGTAGAGCAAAACACGTCAAAGTACTCCAAGATAAGAAGCTACCTTTCGATTTGACATTATGTGGGTCCACACTCCGGGCCCCACATAGTTGCCATTTACAGTATATGGACAACATGACGTCCATAGCTTCTTTAGTAATGGCGGTGGTAATAAATGACATGAATGATGAAATCGATAGCCCCGATCCACAAAAAAGAAAAAAGTTATGGGGATTAGTTGTTTGCCATAACACCACTCCAAGATTCGTCCCTTTTCCACTACGTTACGCTTGTGAATTTCTTGCTCAAGTTTTCGCAATTCACATCAACAAAGAATTGGAATTAGAAAACCAAATTCTCGAGAAAAACATATTGAGAACACAAACGCTATTGTGTGATTTACTAATGCGAGATGCTCCATTAGGCATTGTTGCACAAAGTCCAAACATTATGGATCTTGTGAAATGTGATGGAGCAGCTCTTTTGTACAAGAATAAAGTATACCGAATGGGTGTTAGTCCAACTGAATCTCAAGTCTTTGATATTGTTTCTTGGCTCTATGAATACCACATGGATTCAACCGGATTGAGCACCGATAGTTTATATGATGCGGGGTATCCGGGAGCTCTTGCTCTTGGTGACATAGTTTGTGGAATGGCATCTGTGAGAATAACCGAAAAAGATATTCTTTTTTGGTTTAGATCGAATACGGCTTCGGAAGTTAGATGGGGTGGAGCGAAACATGAGAAGGGTGAGAAAGATGATGGGAAAAGAATGCATCCTCGGTCGTCTTTTAAGGCTTTCTTGGAAGTTGTGAAAACAAGGAGTTATCCATGGAAAGATTTTGAAATGGATGCGATCCATTCGTTGCAACTTATTATGAGGAATGCTTTGAAAGAGAATGAAGTTGCGGATTTGAAAACGAATGTGATTCAAAGTGGTTTCAATGAGCTTAAACTTGATGGGATGCAAGAATTAGAAGCGGTTACTAGTGAGATGGTGAGGTTGATTGAAACGGCTTCGGTTCCGATTCTTGCGGTTGATGTTGACGGTTTGATAAACGGGTGGAATACGAAAATTGCTGAGTTGACCGGGTTGCCTGTGGAAAAAGCTATTGGTACTCATTTGTTAACACTTGTTGAAGAATCTTCGGTTAAAACGGTGCAAAAGATGTTGAATCTTGCATTGGAAGGTATTCTCTTTCAACCGTGTTTCTTTTTTTTTCTCTCTCTAATTGAGTGTTGAATTGAAAAGTAACATAATGATGATATTTGAGAAAAGGGCTAAATGCGAAAAATAGCAACGTACTTTTATTTATTTGTACAATATAGCATCCTACTTTGATTTCAATATTTTCTTATTAAGGAATTGTAGTTTGAAATATCTACCTTGTTATATCTTTGTACTTTTAATCTTTTTTGTATTTCAAAATTATACTTTGGAAAATTTACCCTATAGCAGTGTAAATTGTTGACATTGCTATAAATTAGTTGATTTTTCAAAGTACACTGTTATAATAAACTAATCAATAAAAGTACATTCCTTTTTCTTGCATTTAACCTTGCGAAAGTGACAGTCAATTTTAGAAATTGAAGAAAAAGTAAATGATAAATTTTGGGAAGAGATAAAATTTAACAGGGAAAGTTTATTTTCTTTAACTTTATGTTTTAATCTGTTGAAAACTAAGTGTTAATTTCTTTCTCATTTAAATACATAAGAAACACCTACTTAGACGATTCCATTCCTCAAAATCAGTATATATGTGTATGATCTTTGTACTTTGAAAAATCTACCTTGCTATATCTTTGTACTTTTAATCTTTTTTGTATTTGGAAATTATACTTTGGAAAATTTACCTTATAGCAGTGAAAAATGATTTTAAATTGATGACATTCTCATAAACTGGTTGATTTTTCAAAGTACAATGTCATAATAAACTAATCAATAAAAGTACATTCCTTTTTCTTGCAGTTAAGTGTTTGAGAGAAAGTGAGAGCATGGTTTTATGTAGAAAAGTCTCATTATTTTGATAAATTTTTTTGATAAAGTCCTAATTTTTTTTTGAACACTGAAGTCTCAATTATATAATTTCACGATAATCCGTCATTTCCTGTTAAAATAAAAAATAATGACTTTTTCGTTAATTTGGGTAAAATATTAAATAATCTGGGCTTTTCTGTTCAATGTTTTTAGGACTTTATCAAAAAACTTCCCAAAATATTGAGACCTTTCTGCATAAAACCCAAAAAGTAAATGATAAAATTTCAGAAAGTTTATTTTCTTTAACTTTATGTTTTAATCTGTTAAAAACTAATAGTTAATTTCTTTCTCATTTAAATACATTAGAAACGCCTACATAGACAATTCCATTCTTCAAAATCGTTATATATATGTATAATCATATATAATCTTCATTATCTTTGTGGTGTCTATGTATTTAGGAAAAGAAGAAACCGGTGTCCAATTCGAAATCAAAACACACGAATCAAAGAAAGAATCCGGACCAATCACACTTGTAGTCAACGCATGTGCAAGCCGAGACATACACGAAAGTGTTGTAGGCGTATGTTGTATTGCACAAGATATAACTCACCAAAAAACCATAATGGACAAATTCACTCGAATAGAAGGAGATTACAAAGCCATTGTGCACAACCCAAATCCACTAATCCCACCAATCTTTGGAACCGATGAATTCGGTTGGTGTTCTGAGTGGAATCAAGCCATGACCGAGTTATCCGGGATTTCAAGAGGAGAAGTCATTGACAAAATGCTTCTTGGTGAGGTTTTCGGGACCCAATCAGCATGTTGTCGTGTTAGTAACCAAGATGCATTTATAAACCTAAGCATTGTTCTTAACAAAGCAATGACAAGTCAAGAATCGGAAAAGATTTCATTTGGGTTTTTTGCTAAAAGTGGGAAGTACGTAGATTGTGTGTTATGTGTGAGTAAAAGGGTGGATAATGAGGGGACAGTTACTGGGCTTTTCTGCTTCTTGCAACTTGCAAGTAGAGAGCTTCAACAAGCTCTTCATTTTCAGAGAATGTCGGAGAAAATTGCAGCTAAAAGACTTAAAGCTTTAGCTTATATAAGAAGACAGATTAAAAATCCGCTTTCTGGGATTATACATTCGAGGAAAATGATGGAGGATACTGAGCTTGGAGATGAGCAGAGGGAGCTTCTTCACACTAGTGCTTTGTGTCAGAGACAACTTAATAAAGTACTTGATGACACTGATCTTGATAGGATTGTTGATGGGTATGATTAAAAATGTTGTTTCTTTAATTTATTGTGGAGAATTTCGTTGAAAAATGTTGATTTATTGAAATGTTTGCAGGTATTTGGATCTTGAAATGACGGAGTTTACTCTCCAGCAAATCTTGGGTGCGTGTATAAGTCAAGTAATGACAAAGAGCAATGTGATGGGTATTCAAGTAGTGAACAATGTTCCAGAAGACATGTTGTCAGATAAACTTTTTGGGGATAGTGTGAGACTTCAACAAGTTCTTGCAGATTTCATGTCACTATCTGTTTCTTGTACGCCAGCTGGCGGCCTCCTGTTTATTTGGGCCAAATTAACTAAAGATCATTTGGCAAAATCAGTCCAGCTTGTCAATTTAGAACTCAGGTATGTTCTTTTAGGCTCCATAATTTGTTAACCACCACACTACAGAATAAAACAGGTTGTACTGTGTTTGGCATGTATCAAACTGTGTTTGGCATGTATCACAATATTAACCAGTTTTGTCTTGTGTAACAAATGCAGCTTAATGGTTCAATTGATTCTTGACTTAGCTAAGTGTGTTGATTTGAACCCTTTTTTGGTAGGATAACACATACAGGAGGTGGGGTCCCTGAGGAGTTGTTAAGGCAGATGTTTGGAACAAGTGTAGATGCAACCGAAGAGGGAATAAGTTTGGTGATTAGCAGAAACCTGTTGAAGCTCATGAGTGGAGATGTGCAGTACCTGCGGGAGGCAACAAAGTCGACTTTCATCATTTCTGTTGAACTTGCGGCTGCGGGTACCAAGAAGCTGTGAACAACTTTGTTCTTTGTTCGGTGGCTCATTCAAGAATCAATGTTTACATGTTAATTTTCAGTTTGAGTTTGTGTTTATGTTGTGGTGGTGGTGTTAGTGTGCAACTGTAATCAAGGACTTTGTTGCCTTTTCGAATAATTGTAAGTCATGGTGTTTGAGTTTGGTTTATAGTGCAGTTCTTGTTAGTTTATCCCATATCAGTGAGACGTCGTCATATCTCTCTCTCTCTCTCTCTCTCTCTCTCTCTCTCTCTCTCTCTCCAATGACTTCACATATAAATCTTAAATGGTATTGGAGTCAGTGTCTTCAACCGCTTAACAAATCATATTCTATCATCATTGAACCTTCATGTGTGAGGAGTGTTATGTATCACATATTGATGCGACACGGTCTGACAACATATTAAGTTTGTCCATCATATTCTATCATCATCGAACCCAAAACTCTAATACTTTTAACCACTTGGAATTTTGTTGAACTACAACATCCTTGCTATTAATACTTTAACCTTTTCAATTTTTTGACCTACAACATCTTGCTATGCTCTTGAGTTTTGTAACATCCTCATCTAAGGGTTAGAAGTTTAGTGATTTTAGTGAAAATAAAAAAACTTTCTTTTAAATAAATAATTTACTAATTATTATTATAATAATAAAAAATAATAAATAATGTGATATTATTAATTAAAAACGATAACTAAAGAAATGCTATCTAAATACATAACAAAGTTAAAAAAAGGTTAAATATGACAACTTTCTGAAAGACATGTTTGACTAAATGAATTGACCAAATTAAATGAATATAACCTAAATGTCATATGATGTGGTGAGAAAGTACAATATATGAAACATTTTAATGTCTATATGGAAATTGGGGGAAAAGAATACCAAATAATTAAACTAAGCGATTTGAGGGACTAAATGTGACATAAAACCATAAATTTGAAACTACATAAGAGAGTTGTTCTCATTAATTAGGAGAAATCGATCCACATAGAGAAATGGAGAAGAGCATGACGATTTTGATCTAATCTAGAGATTGTAGATGAATCTTAAGGAGAATTAAAGAAGGAAATCAGCATTTACAACCTACATGTTTTTGGAGGTAGCATATTCTTTTAATTTCTACCAAAATTTTGAATTAATGTTTGATAATTTACATTGAATTTGTTCTAGTAGTATGTGGGTGTTGATTCAAGTATAGAATACAGTTTTTTGTGTTGTAATACCCCGATTTTCAAATATTACATTTGTGACCCTTCGAGTGAGTTTTGTTGCAAAATGGCCCATAGTGGCATTGTCGTAATTTTGGGCAAATCAGAGTACGTTGGGCGTACCAGTGTGGTACGCGGAGCGTAAGGCTTTTAATGGGACGACGTCATTTGGGAGTACGTTGGGTATACAATGCATACGCTGGGCGTACTCCGTCTGGGTGAAAACCCTAATCTTGAGTGTTGGACCCTATTTATTGATCCTTAAGTTTCATTTCTTCACCCCATTCTAAGCCTCCATCCTTAGGATCGTTTCTCTTGCAAACCCTATCCCAATTGTTGCACTTTGAAGTTTGAGTGTGTGTTTTGTATGTTCCAAAGGAAGAAGAAGGTGGTGGTGATGTTTGGAAGCTAGAAGCAAGCTTGGATCTAGAAGTTTTGGAGGCTAAGATGCAAGAGCATTACCCAGAGTTGTTCACCGCAGCAGACTTCGAGGACGAAGTCTAGTTCAAGTGGGGGAGAATTGTAACACCCTGATTCTCAGGTATAAATTTTACAGCTTTATTTCCACTTTAAAGGGTCTACTCGACGAGTCGAATGCCCTGACTCGTCGAGTAGGAACGAAATTAGCCGCGTGTTTTAAGTGACCAATTCAACGAGTCGGAGGACACGACTCGACGAGTTGGAGCTGGTGGATGAAACCCTAATTTACAGGGTATTACATCCTATTTAAAGAGTCATTAGCCTCCCTTACGGCCCTCCTTGAGCTCAGAAACCCTAGTTTCTGTTTACTCTCCATATTTGTGTGTTTTAAGCTTGGAAGGTGGATCTTGGTGGGAAGGATTTGAATTTCAAGAAGCTTGGAACAAGGAGAAGCTGTATATTTGAACTCTATTCCATCTTAGCATCACGTTGAAGGTAACAAGTCGTTACCTTGGCTCTCCATTAGCAAGATCTATTCATTCATGGGGTTTAGAACCCTTTTTAGGGAATTATTGTGGTATTTCCGGATTTGGGGCAAGATCTGAGGTTACAACTTCAGACCTGGACCCCTTTAGCCTCTTATGGTCATAAACTCTCAGCCTTTCTCAAGCTATGGCCTACCCATTGCCTTAAACTTCTTCTTTAGCTTGGTTTTGGCTCTTAAGACCTTGCATTCACGTAAAGTTTGCAACTTTACGTGATAACTAGGCTCTAGGAGGCTAGATATACCATTTGGAGCTTTGGAATGACTAGAAAGCATCTGAACAAGAAATGGACTGTATGAACTCGACGAGCCGGATAAGCCGACTCAACGAGTTGGGAAGGGTTCTACTGTTGTTTGATTTATGCATGGACTCGGTGAGTCAGTAGAGGACTCGACGAGTCAGTTAGGGTTTCCCCCGACTTCTGGAGACGCATAGACTCGGCGAGTTGGTCGGAAACTCGGCGAGTCAGTGAGGGTTTTATAACCTTCTGAACTCTTAAGGAACTCGACGAGTTGGGTCAACATGGACTGTTGACTTTGATCATTGACCTTGACTTTGACCAAGGGTTGACTAGTTTGACTTCTGGGGGTATTTTGGTAAATTGGAAATTTATGGAATGATCTTATGGTAAATATAGGTGGTGGATTTCGTGGCTGTGATTCGAGAGTTTGAGCTTATCACTTCAGTTTGACAGTTGTGAGGTGAGTTATCCTCACTATACTAAGGGGTCGAAGGCACCAATGTCGGCCCATTGGATCTGATATCCTAGTAGTAGGTGTTATGATTGAGTATGAATTAGTTATTCATGCTAGTTGTTATGCCAGTTGGTAGATCTGTAGGACTACCTTTATCACTATCTGATTATCTGTATGTGCATTAGTTATGTTATATGTCGACATATTATGTGGGATGGGTTGAGGTTGTACTGCCCCGTGTGGTAGCAAACAAACCCTAGAGTATTCCAGATATGAGCTGAGGTCCGGGTAGGGCATGCCAGACTCATATTGAGGACTCAGGAGCATTCCAGATACGAGCTGAGGGCCGAGCATGGCATGCCAGACTCGTACTGTGGGCTCGTGAGCATTCCAGATACGAGCTGAGGACCGATCAGGGCATACTAGACTTGTACTGTGGGCTCAGTGGCAAGCCATATGTGAGCTGTGGGCCAGAAGGCAAGCCAAACCCACACTGTGGGCCCAGGGGTAATCCAGTCTGTAAAGCTGTGGACCCATTACATGTTGTTATTTTTATATGTGCTATTTGCTATGTATCGATATTTTGGGGGAACTCACTAAGCTTTGGGCTTACAGTTTCAGTTTTGGTTTCAGGTACCTCAGATGACCCTGGGAAGGCAAAGGCGTGATCGTACAACTCCTCACATTTTATGACTACGTTTCTAGGATACTCTGATATAGAACTGTTTTGAAAACAAATCTGTAATAATTGTTGGTTTCTAAGTGTTTTTAAAAGTTAAATTTGGCCTGATTTTTATGAATGTTTCAAGTGTTAGGTTATGAGCATTATAACACTCCTAAGTGTACATGAAACCCTAAATACCTTGGATCTATGTTTTCTCTATTATACATGCAAATATGAATATTCCAAGGTATTACCCTAACTAGCATACAAAACATTGATTCATATGTAATATAGCAAGTTAAAAGACATACCTTTTGATGTATCTTGATTCCATGAAGCTTAAGAGCCTAGTGCCCCAAGTGTGACACCTCAAATGGTTCACACAACATAAAATACACTTGGAATAACATAGAGAGAAATGAACCACTTCATGAAATCGGCAAGCCCTCACCATTCCTTCATAGTCTCTCATGGTGGCCTGATTTTGGGAAGAATAAGATGCTTATATAGTGTGTCACAATTAGGGTTACACCATGTAAACCCTAACTGTCATGGCCTTTCATTTCCATGATCCATGGGTACAAAAACACCATGAAGCATCCATGGAGCATCCTATGGGTTTTAGCCCAACTTGATAATCCATGGAGCATTAGCCCACTATACAAGTATGGATGATTTACACAATCAACCCATATATTTAATTAATCTCCTTTTGATCACTTAATTAATTCCAAACTAATTCTTGATCAACACTAATTAAATAATCTTATTAATATATTAGAACTTATAATATATTAACAAACCTGAAGTGTTATTTCTCTCATTTTAGTCTATCCAAATGCATGATGCCATGTAACCCAAATGGACCATGCCAATCGGGTCAAGTACATACCAATTATAGTTGTGGACTTAGACACTAATCCAACAGTCGCCCACTTGGATAAATCTAAAACTATTATTGCGTATGACTTCAAACCCGACTAGCAATCGTAGCTCTTAAAAGCTGCTGCCGTCGAACTCTGAACAAATCAATGACGCGTCCATCAGATAAGGGATAATATATTCCTCCATTCTAGATATCATATGGACTGAGACATGAATTATAATCATTCTCTCTGTCCATTTTTTGTTTCCAGATTTCCGATTTATGAAGACCGACTAATTGAACAAATCAAATCAGTCCTGGTTTGGCCAAGCACTCACAAGTGTCATCATTAAATCATCGAGGGGCCCACAGATATCGCTTTTATCCCTTTAAGGGTAAAAGGAATGGATAAACTTCGACTCATATGGCTTGTTCTACTACTTGTTGAATCATACACAAAGGCACGTTTTATAACATCGAGTTACCAATGCGTTTTCGTGCAATCAATGTATAACCAACTCATAGTAACAACTCATATCTCAAGGTTTGAAGAATATAAGATATTATCGTCTCATGATCACTCGTGATAAAACCCATGAAGTGAGTCAAATGAGCGTGGGTTGAATCCAGTACTCAGAACTTATGAGCACTCATGAGTGTTGTAGCACCGCTTTGTCCAACATCTTAGACCTATACAAGCCAACCCATGACAGTCTTGATTCATATCTACTTCCAACATATG